CTGCCGTACACAAAATTCCGTAGCAGTATGCGTAAGGTGTATACTTAAGCCAATGAACCAATCAGGATACCGCTTTAGATTACGTAATCTAACGGAAATGGAAACTAACAATAAACTTATCTATAACCTCGCAATAAGGTGAATTTCAACCGGTTGAAACTCGCCTTATGGATATAAGTATACTGCTGTTTCTATTTCCGTTAGTCCGGATCTACAATAGATGTTTTAAGCCTTAAGCCGTAAGAAATTGACCAATTACCCTCGATCTACAATAGATTTTTAAGCCTTAAGCCATAAGGAATCGACGAATCACAATCAATTATTCTCCTCGCATTTGACTGTAATTGGTCAAATCACATCTTAACTGTTACTGTTACAGAAATTTTGTCTGCTGCAACCTTATGCTGGATTCACCTTGCATCCGATTTGCGTCGTACGACGTTCTGCAACCAATCAGAAAATAGGATTCCGATGGATTTTGCTTCGTATCATTCGAATTCTGTTTTCTCAACAGTTGAGTGAGCGCTCGCTGCTATTGATGTATTCTCCCAGATCTAAAATGCTGATTGGATGATCTAAAAGAATACACCAACAACAACGAACGCTCACTCAACCGTTGAGTTCGCTGAACGCAGCCATTACATCTTACTGCCTTAAATTTTTTGTATTCCATGGCCTTGAGTTTTTTGTATGCCAATTCTTTTTGTGCCGTTGCAGTATGCTGCAAGCGTCTGCTATCTAGCTATGTTACAAAGTTCACAGCCAGCGCTGAAAATCTACAGTTTACGTGACGTATACTGTACATTTTCAGCACTGGCAGCAAATTTTGGAACATAGCCCTAGCATCTTATGACGGCACTGACGGCAGCCTAGAAACTAGTATGTCGTGTATGTCGTTTATTGTGAGAGCAGCTGCTTGGATTATTTGAAAATACGGTTTTCTCTCTCTTTCTCTCTCTCTCTCTCCTTTTCTCTTTCTCTCTCTGTGTCATTGTTGATTAGCCGGTGGAGTAAAGATAGAGAAATCATTGCACTAACGCTAAGCTGCTCATAATTGTCGAATCTCACGTATCGCCAGATTTCAATCATCATCATTATCATCATCATCATCATCGTCATCGTCATCATCATCATCATCATCATCATCATCATCATCATCATCATCATCATCATCATCATCATTATCATCATCATCATCATCATAGTCGTCACCAATATTATAAGCATGACGGATCGAACCGAGCTGAGAATGAACGTGGCTGCTTTGAAACGAGTTGACCCCTACGTAAAGGATATTTTGGAAACTGCAACCCACGTCGCTCTGTATACATTTAACGCGGATGAAAATGAATGGGAAAAAACCGACATCGAGGGTGCTCTGTTCTTGTACTCGAGGAATGGCGAGCCATACAACAGTATTCTCATAATGAACAGGTAGTATATATCGAGGTGTTATATATCTACCAACTAGAAAAATATAATATACGTGTGACGTTTACTTTGCATCGCCAGCGGTTTACTCGAGAGATTTGTAAATTACTTTTATCCAAGAGTTTAGTACCTTTTGCACATCCATCTTATATTAATAATACTAAAAATATCATATAGAGGAATGATATACATATTTGTTACAGATTGAATACAAACAATCTAGTGGAACCAGTTGCTCCAGGTTTAGATTTACAACTGCAGGAACCGTTTCTGCTCTATAGAAATTCTAGATGCAATATTTATGGTATTTGGTTTTATGAAAAAGAGGAATGTGTACGCATCGCAAATATGCTAAATAAACTTCTGAAAGAATGTGAAGAAAATCGCAAAATCACTAACAAACCGCTATTGAAGGCTAAAAAGACCTCTGGACCCAACGTAAACAACGTGGATATATTTAGCATGCTTAGCAAGGCACAAGAGGACTTTAATACGAGCAGAGGTAGCGGCGGAGGTGGCGAAGACGATAGTGGTAACACGATAATAGGATCAAAGTCTCCATCGGTTACACCCATGACCGACAATATTTCTGGACCTCTAGTTGCTCCCTTAGGACCTGACGTCACTTCCCAAAGTGTAATGGACTTCTTTGCTAAAGCCAAGGTTAGCGTTGTATCTCTTTGCTACTCTTTATTTGACGTATATTATTTCTCTATCTCTTATATCATTATTGTGTCGACCAGGTGAATACTGGACATTTCAAAGCAGGCGACCAACCTACTCCAGGAAGCACGGTTGCGGTTGAAAGTAAACCTTTACTTGCACGTTTAATGTCTCATCCGGCAGCGCATACTTTAGAACATATTGAGAAACAACAGAGATCTGTGACACCTCAACCATCTCATCAGTCACAACCGACAACGATTCCATCCACAAACAAGTCTAAAAAACGAAGTAAAGCGACTTTGCAACAAGAATCAATAATATCCACATCAGCGCCGATTTCCCAAGATTTGCCGCCGCTACCTGTTACTCAAAATGTTAACGATTTAAATGCATCGACTGGATTCCTCAGGATACAATCGCCAACCAACGTAACGTCTTCTACTTTAAGAAATCATCAAGTTTCCAACATTACTAATACCAACAATGCCAATCCACTTGCGTCATTATTCGCTCATGCTTCCGGAAGTACGGTAAGAAAATTAAACGAAATTTTATCTTTTGTATTTATTAAGCATGTACATTCGAAAATCATTGTTTTTTTTTTTCTTTCTTCCTGTATCCTGATTTAGTCGTCAGACGATATTATCCCGGCAGCGTCTACATTGTCAGGAAGAGGCTCGGCACCAGCATTAATACCACCTGTGATGTTTGCCGCTCCTAGCCCACCTGAATCCTTAAACCGACCGTTAGAACCACTAACAAGGAATCAACTTTTACAAGCATTCAATTATTTGTTGAAAAGCGATCCTGATTTCATCAACAAACTTCACGAGGCCTATGTCAAATCGTTTGGAGAGATACTTTCTTAAACTCATTATATTATTGTATCAATTGCAAAAAAAATCCATTGTATGGGTTATGACTGAACAAAAGGAACATCACTAAGCTAAATCTCAATATTCCTACATTACGAGCATGTACATACATAGATGATATGTAATGCTCGACCTTCAATTGAGAAGATAAGCATAGTTTCTTTTAAAGAAAAGGAAAATTTCTTTTTTGGCCGAAGATTAAAAAACAGATATGGAATAGAACATACAATATAATACCTTGAACAGTATTTTTATAAAGGAATGCGCTTTCTTTCGAGACGATAAAGTAAAGAGGCCGAACGAGCAGAGACTCGTGTAACGAAGTATGGTACGAATGAGAAATTGCATCTTAAAGAAGTGGACTTGTTATGAATGGTATAATTATATACATATGTATATATACATATATACACACACACACGCATACACACATGTGTGTGTGTGTGCGTGTGTGTGTATAATGGAATTGAACGGTTTTTAAACTGTGATGCCAAAACATTTATATTATACGTGCGTTTTATGATTGAAATTTCAATGCAGCACGAAATCATTTTTTTGAGCTGAGCAAATCATATGAAAACCTATTTTATAGAGTAATGACGTATCCTCCCTATATACCGGATACCAATATGGTATGTGTATGTTATCGATGAAAAGCAACAAATAAATACAGACAAGATGCAATGAAAAGACAATTAAAATATACTTAACTTTTTCTTTCATTCCTCACAAGTAACATGTATAAAATAAAATCTAGGCAGGCCTGTACGTATTTATTTAGTCATTATTATGTCGTACTATCACAATACAGTGTTTATACGAAATACGCTTAAAAAATATTATATGAAGAAAAGGTACAATTCACAAATTGGCTGTGATTCAAGTCGCAACGGCGACTTGAACGAAAAATTTTATGTCGCTTACACGAATTTACTTTCTATTGAATTTTCTTACATTATTACGAAATATATAATCTTCCCTCACTTTTTATTGGCGTGTACTATTCGTGAATTAAAATTACGAACTAATATTTTTAGGGAACAGAGTTGCAATAATTGCGAGAACGTTAAAGAACGTTCTCGCATCATTGTAACTCGATAATATCATCAAATTTAATGTATCATTCAAGATGATAAAAAATACATGTTCTATATTTACAATCCTATAACGACACAGAAACGTATCATATACTTTGTGTCATCGTAACGTCATGTTTAAAGGATCGAAAAATCTCGATCCATTCTCACTCTTTGATCTCGCGATGTCGACATGCGTGTCGTGTCGACGTTTCGAGGAAATGCAACGAGTAATACATTATCATTATGAGATATAATTTACAGTAGTTGCTTTCTTCGTAGAATTCACAGCCAAGTGGAGCCTTCGACGGCCCGCTAGCTTTCTAAACAGCCATTTATTTGGTACATGACTTTGTGGAATCTTGCAAACTTGCATACACACACACGCACACATACGCACACAGGCTTCTCATATACATATTGTAAAAAATCCACAAAGTTGAAACAAAGTTAAATTGGAATAATTGAATAATATCATTCGTGTCGTAAAGAAATCTTATCCGGTCTATATAGATAGATACTTAATTATCCTCAATTAATATTAACGTACAAGTACTCGATATACAAATACTTTGCTACACAAATGTATGTGTATGGCACAACTCCGGTTTTGCAAGTCATGTATCAAAACTAGCGCAGCCAGCTCTATTAATTAAACTATTACTTAGAACACCTCTTATTGGGAAATTTTGTCATGAAATTTCTTAAACCAGAGGCACTTTCGGTGGTCCAAGTAAGGGTGGCCCGTTATTAGATGTTCGATGTGGCACGAATTTATTTGCGTTTTGTGCCGGCATAGGCTGGAGCCATCTGACAGCTAGGCTGGCGATCATTAGCAGGACGATGAATCCACAGATAGCCACGACAATCGTCGCCGTTGGGAACCATCCGTCAATCGGCTGATTTCCGCGACTGTTTGGATGCAATCGAGCCAAGTACGGTCGTTGATCATCGATCAATACTGCAATGATATTATTACCAACAAGTAATAAACAACAAGAATTAAGCGAACACGAATAGGTTTTTGGAAAGTTTAGAAAGAGAGATTCTTGTCAAGTCGATTGCTCGCATCTCTCGAAATTTATTGTTGCCACTTTTCCACGATGCGAACTTTTTCCTTTAACAATAAATTGCGTCCGGTAAGTAGTTTTTGCAAGAGAGCAGGTTGAAGTTAACAAATAAACATAAAAATTATTTATCGGACGCAATTTTGTTAAAGGAAAAAGTTGTTTGTTTTAGCATAAAGTTTCACGTCTTGTACTTGCGGTGGGGCGCTCGAATTTGAAAACATCCTGTATAAATCCTGTATGTTAAAAGTTTAGTATAGCGCGCGTTATGTTCTAGTTGTGTTAAAAAAGAAATTACATGGCAATATACTTATTGTTCTAAACACCCGATAAACAGATCAGATGTACCTATATATCACGATAATCAACATGACAGAATATACGATATGTGACAAATGAAATGTAAAATGTTGAAAATGTAATAGCCTAATAGCATGCGAGATGAAAGGAAGAAAAGGCACATTCGTCTCGAACCTCGTAGAGTCTTGTTGAGTCTGTTTCTCATCGCGGGGCTGTCCACGTGATTGCAGAGATCTTGATCGCAGCAGAGAAATCCTGCGGGGCACTGACGATTTATTAAATTTTCATCGAGACAACCGCTGTGAGCAGTATGCTCCGCTCTCGAAAATGACGCATTTGCGTTCGATGGTAATTTTGTAAAGCAACTTGTACCGCGACACATGTATCCCTGAGGAACGCATTCTGGTTGATTGCAATAGCATCTTACTTCTCCTGCATTAGAGGAATCTGCAAGCAAAAACATCAATCCTATATAATCATGAAAAAAATAGTTGGAAAATTAAATGTTGAATTGAATCTTTAAGGATACGTCGCATTAATTAACAAATTAATTTTGTTAATCGCTTTAAGGTCAAGAATATCGAGAGAGAGTTTCGCATCGAAATGAATATTTATATGCTCTACGCGGCATATATAAATATGCGTAACAAGGGTGGCCTCCCCGATGACTCTGCCCGCAGACTCAAGACTGCGACCTCCGAGCCTCTGAGCCTCTGACTCGACTGTGCTGGACTGTGACTGTGCGTTAATGTGGTCCATTATCATACGAAATAAATGAAGAGAAAAAGAGAGGGCATTTATTGCGATATATTGCAAAGCCATCTTTATCCGCGAGTATGCTCGGCGTCATTTGCCCGCGGCTTGCCCCAACCCCCGATCTACCATCTACCATCTTAAGTCGGGTTCCCCTTGCGACCTCGTCTTTCTCCGCACCGGTTTCTTGCTAATAACCCCGCAGCGATGCCTCGCCTGTCTCCGTTTCTCTTTCGCTCGCTCTTTCTTTGCGAGCGAGCCTTGCGAACTGCCGAGTGCCGGGGCCCCTCTCTCCATTCGCGGTCGGGGTCCAGCTCATCGGGGACTAAAAAACGCTAAAACAGCCGAGTCACAAAAGAAAGATTAAAGTGGAGAGGATGGAGGGGGGGGGGAGGGGGGAGAGAGAAAGGCATGCGGCGCTGCTCCAATGCGCGCGTGTATCTCCTTTCTCTCTTTTTCTCCCCGTCTTTCGATGCAATTCCGCTGATCAAATACCATGAGCACGCATGAGAGAAAGAATAGGGCCACTTGATAATTTCGTCATCGCAATAACGATTGGATACGTGTCGCAAATTCGGAAATTACTCGTGACCTGAAAAGTTACAAGGATGTTAAATTTCAATTTTACGTCGCGTCGAATAGCTAAACATTTTTCTATGCCTTGTAAGATTTCTTGCTCGCTCTTTGCTTCGTTCGCTTTATCAAGTTATTTTATCAAAGTAAAAAAGAATATGGGATATTGAATTTCTTTTTCGATTTCATATTTTAAAATTGATGAATCACTTTGACAAAATCCTTTTTACAGACGTACGTTTGTATTTAGTGTGTATAATAATTATACTTGAAATATGTATTTTTTAAAACGTGCGATTGCGAATCGAAATAAAGAACGGTAGCTTTCCAAAAGAAAAATTCAAAGAGGCCGTCGCGCGTCGAGGGGCATATGCACGTATATGTCACACACAGTCCCATATGCGCGTTTAAAATAAAAAGGAAAAAGGAGCTAGGAAAGCAGCGGGAGGTCGAGGAGCCCGACTCAAGACTCAAGAGAGATACGACCGACAAGACAAGCCCCTGAGGCCGGGGAAGAGGCGAAGAGCCATCCGAAAACAAACAGACTGCATCGCGGAGTCGTTCGTTATGTGTCTACGGTATATTAATTATTCCCCGGCTCGGTCCAGTCCAGCGTCGATGCGACGCGACCGAGTTATACGATCTCTCCCTTCGTGTCTGCAATTTTTTCTTTCTTTTCCGCCCCGTTTCTTCGATATTAGAGTATTGGATCTGATTGGATCTCACCGACGAGACTCTGACGTGAACATTTCATCGATTTTGTTCGATATACATACATTTGTAATGTACGTGACGTTATACAATTTAATTTCCACTCGACAAATGGCGATTACATTACGCATAGTTAATATATTTTTTCCCTTTGTCTTTCACAACTACTCGTTATTGCCCATTGCTGTGAGATGGCATATTTCTCTCGAAAAATATCGACAAGTACTAGTTACTCGATAATATCTGTCACGCGTATTCAAATCTATAACAAAAGATAAAACAATTAAAAGTGAGTTCGGAGTTCGGAGTGAGATTCGGAGCTTTCGCACGAAAAGAGAGAGAGAGAGAGAGAAAGCACAATTATATATATGTAGATTTGAACGAGCATCGTTTCTACACATATATGTATACATATAGAATTAGAAGAGTGACGACTTATATGTATATGTCAGTGCCGCGCAACGATCAAGCTAACGAGTCTCTTCAAATATAATAGGTGTAACTCATGCGAGAACATTGCGCAACGTTACAACGCAACCTTAACATGCATAAGAACATTGCAAATTCTCTGTAATGAACCAAATGCATTAGCAAAGGCGCTTTTCTAATTAGCGCTACCGAGCTGCGTAACGTTAATTAGCGTAATAGTGAGAGCGAGAACAAATCGCGTCTTTGTTTCGCAAGAATAACGAAAGAATTAACGAAAGCCAAGTTAAGTGCTGTAGCAAATAGATTTTCGAGTTATTTCATCACGATTAAAAAGATTGGCAACGACTGCAGCGCGGCGAGACTGCACCTGTTCGTATATACTTATAGGAGCGGAAGAGCTGGTACGAACCCGCGGAGTTATGCGAAAAGAAAAAAGGGGCGGCCACGGTTCATCATCAAGTGGAAAGGTTTGCGAAAGACGAAAGGAGTGGCTGAAAGTCGAAAGAGCACTGCGATGATGAAGAGGCCGAAGAGGACCGGTCGGTCTGCACTGTCTGCGCAGGAACCTTCCTCTTCGTCCGCGGGAAGAAGCTCGCGCGCCCATACCGATTCGTGAGAAACTCGACTTTCGCCTGAAATTTTTAGAAAAATTTCAGAATATTAATTAAGCGATGCCTATAGGATCGGAGGAGTTGGTTTCCTTCCTGAATTCATTCAAGCAAAAGTTGCAGTCTAAAGCATAATCCTCCCCACACACATACTCGTACGTATAAATAAACCATAAAGGAATGCTTTTGTCGTCACCACATGATGCAGTAATATACGTATAAACAAATACCTATACGAGGATTATCTCGAGAGCCTAAAATGCATCCGTTTGAAAGGGAAACAACTGTAAAACAGTTTCGCGTTATGCGCGATGAACGAACCTTCAGGACAAGGGGACAAGAGGACGAGAGGACGAGGGGCGTACGGGATGATCCTGTTCGCTCGGCTAATTTTCGTTTCACAAAGGTACAGTATCGAAGGTGGTATTTGCGTTGGGACTTGTAACTACCGAGAGCCGGGCTCTATTCAATCATTATACGCCGAGGAAGGGAGCTAGCTGGACTGGAGAGTCGAGACGATTCGGGAAGCGGCCGCACCACGTCCTCGAGAGCGGATGGTTACGGCCGGTGGGGTGGCAATTAGCAAGAACAATGGAGAGCCGGGGTCCTTGTTCTGAGAAGTAGGCGGAGGGCCTCAACTCTCCGGGGGCCCTGCCATTCCATTGGACGGAGGGGGAGGCAGGTACGTGTATCTAAGGTCCCGAATATATGTGGCTATATAGGTATACCGCACGACGTTCGTTTCGGCGCTACAAGACAGACTCGCTTGATGTTCCCGAGCCTCGGCAACCCGGTGATTAGCCCTACTTAACTCGGATATGCGGACGCGACGCGAGCGCGGCCCTATCGGCAAGTAAAAGGCATCCTCGTCAATTATATGCAATTGCCAAATTGCTCCAAATTACACGCGTTGCTTCTCGAGAAACGCGGGGCCCTTTATGATAATTTTCATGTTTTTTGCGGAGGCAACCTGCGACCATCTTTGATTATCGCTCGCCGAAAGCGCCCCCGTCATTACCTCCAGATTCCAGTTAATTAAACTTGAAATTTTTACTCGCGTCACGACTCGAGCACTCGAGGAATGTCGAAGATAGTTTCCATTCCGATTCTACTGACACATTAGCGCGATAGATTCGCGAAATATCTTTATCATCTACGCAGAATTATATTATATACGAGTACATACATGCGTAAAGAGATCGGATCAATCACTTCAATCGTCTCACGCATGACAATTATTCTCTAGTCACCTCAATCAACAGGCTTGCCGTCGGCACTGGCTCGGTGCTTCCAAAAAAAATGAGAATGGTGAGTTTTGTATTCGAAATAGTGAGAGAAAGTGAATTTTTTTAAACGTTCAGCAACAACCTAGTTTGTTTTAAAATTTTGATTAAAATTGTATAGAATGGTATCTAAGGAATGGCGCTTTATTATTTTCAATATATTATCCTGTGAAGGTGATATTTTTGAATTTTAAAAACGGTATCGTTAAGAATACACGTTTCAACATACTCGGCAGAGAAGATGACAAATTTCTACTAACAATAACATCTAAATTCAGATTTAGGGAATGAAGCAAGTGTCTGGAAACAAAGTTATTATTTTCAAATTAAATACATCATTATTTTATATTTCAATATATATCTAGTTTATTAAGATTCTAAGTAAGTTTATTTAAGTCTTTCGCAACCATTAAAATTAGAACATATATTTAAATAAACTTTATAATAAGATTTTCCCTTAATATTGGGTTGGAGAAAAACATCATATTTAAAAAATGTTTCTACCATTTTTTATTCATGAGTTATTCGCGAGTTAAGTAAAAAGGAGCATTCTGCAGACTTTGATCGCTTATAACTCCATTAAAAATCATCGTACTGCAATTTTAAAAAATCAGATTTTTAAAGCTGTAGCGTTGCTTGTGTAATTGCGTTATTGATATAATTGCCAATTTAAAAAAATAGAATTTGAGCTAAAAAAATATGGTATTACTATCCTTACAACCATTACACAATGATCATAACAATAGTAATATCACATTTTTAAATTAGCATGATATTATTCGATGGAGCAAAGTTTCAGCTTTAAGAATCTGTTTTATTAATTACGATACAATGATTTTTAACAAAGTTATGAGCAACAAAAATCAGAATGTTCTTTTATTTAATAACTTAGCGTGTAACTTGATAACAAAGAATCGTAGAAACATTTTTTAAAAACGAACTTAAAAAAAATTGTAAGCTTTCACATCAGATAGTCGAAAATTTCGTAATAAATATATTTTGTATATAATTTTCAGCTAACAAAATTTCACATAACTTTTTCTTCAACCCAATATTATTTGGTATAATATTGCAATGAGTTTTACGCATT